AATGTGACACACACTTGTCCTCAGTATGATGCCCATTGACGCATAGTCTTTTGTACCCTTGACTCCTCACCGGCACACAACTCTTGCTGGCCAGTGGCGTCTCTTAGCAGTGGCGTCCCACTGGCGACGCCAACCCCCTGAGAGCCCCAAGTCTCCCTCAAAGTAAGAACCGCAATCTCCTGGCAACAGTGCAAGCCTTTTACATCGAACACCTTCGGTCTCCTGGCAACCGTCTTCATAGTCTTGGTCACAAGCAGTAGAGCCTGCGCTACAAGATGTGTGGCCACAGATGCTGATGGCGCCCCCTTGAGATCGGGGGTGTCATCACAGGTGTGGCGGTAAGAGGAATGACAACACTGAGAAGGAAGAGTTGTGGTCTGAGTTGTTTCCAACCAAAAGAGTGGAGGCCAATCATACAATCATACTCCACCTCCTATCCTGCCAGGCGTCATCCTCCACTAACCCCACGGAAGTCTGTCTCCTAGCAACGCTGACTGCGTGCACTCCAGGAGGGATCCGGAAGTCCACATGCTCAAGCGGTGCCGTTCTTGGAGAGCATGTCAAAGCACCCCCTCCAAATCTTTCTTTTCTCTCTCTCTCTCTCTCTCTCTCCCTTTCCCTCTCTTTGGTCTACTCCAACTGGCTCCCACGCACAGATTTGGAACGGCTCCTGCACGCAGTGCCTGGGATGAAAATAACAAGGCCACAAAAATCTTCCGCTTTAAAGAGTTTCTCTCTTTCCGCCACCTATCATTTCTCTGTTATGAGTAATGGGCTTATGACCTCAGACAGCCCAGGACAGTTATGAGGTGCAAAAAACAGGTAAATCTGAATAACTCTAGATTGTATTGGTATTGATTTCCCCAAGCACTCGCAATCTCTCCTTCCTCTCCTGAACCAAGCCCTATTTAAATTGACTGCAACTAGTGAGATGTCCACACTGAGAAGGTTAGATGTTTCGCTTACTTGGAACAATTTCTGTGGTAAATATTTATGGCTTTGCTTTTGCCAACAGCCTTAAAGTTGGATTGGGTATCAGTTAGTTTGGCGATCAGTGAGAACTAACAAAAACAACTCCAATTGAGCACTACCGGCTTGCTCTCCAGAGCCTAGACCAGCTCATTAAGGTTGGCATCACACTTCTCAACATTTCCGTAAGTCTGCTGGAGCCCCCATCTTCCCCACCCGCTCTCTCCCCCCAGAATTCCCACAGCAGATCTCCAGCCTCTCCTCAGGACTCAAGAGAATTCGGTTTTCTCACTAGTCTGTGGCGTTCAGTCGGTGAGCAGCTCCAGCCCACCTTCTGCACATCAGAAAACCTCTGTGAAATCCTAATCCCCAGAGCAGGGTGAAACACAGGCCTGGCTTGCCTGACCTCTTCGGTTGCCATGGATACAGCACACTATAAATAAAACAGAGTTTTTTTTTAAAAGCAGTTTGGCAGTGCTGTGCGGACTTGTGGGGTTCACTCTACTGCACCCCCCACCCTGTTTCCCACCTCTACTGTTAAAATTCAAAACTACTATCACTTGGAGTTTTTGGTTATTCTTGCTTAATATGTGTTGAGTCCAAACCTGAGGAAAAGCGAAACTGACAGAGGGAGAGAGATAGCGAAGTCAAACAAAAAGCAGACTCTTGAACCGGCCTTCACGCATGGAGGAAGCCAAGTTGTTTGTGGGTGCCATTTTTGGGAGCATTTAAATCTGTCGAGTGTAAACAGACGGAGCTGTCCTAACGGAGACCCGTTAAAAAAAGGAGGCCTATTTTCTTCAAAGTGGCGGCACAGAGGCGTTGAGAGACGAGGGAGGCTGCATGTTTGTGCACTGAATCAGGGCTGCGCTGCAGATTTTTGTCTGGCGAGGCGAATCTCAAGAGGCTAGGAAATAATTTGGTCACGGCTGTGGGAGGTTGCTGGGGGGGGTGGGGGGGTTAGGGTTTCGACCGTTTCGCTGCGGTGAGAACACGCTTGACACTTCATTCCTTTCCAGTTAATGCGGCTGGACTGCAAGAGTTTAACCCTCTGCCTGCCTGGGCTTGGCGCTGACAAGCAAGTGACCAAAGATCTCCACTGCTGCATATGTACATTGAGAGCTAGTCTGACCACAAAGTGCTTGTGGAAAATCAGGAATATTGGTTTATATATTTGATGAAAGTTATTTAACACAGAACAGAATTGAATGAAACACCATACGATCACCTTACTGAATACCAAGTTGACATGCAGCTCTATATCCTCGACAGACCTCTCCTTGTCTTAGTCTTAATCTTTTGGGACTTTCTCATCTGCTCCGAGGCACAAGTTTAACATCCAGCGACCATGTCCAAGCAGCATGTCAATAGACAAACATCCCTGTGACTTCCTGCGTGCAGCCTCTCATGTGACAGAGGCGAGACTGAGCCTGTGGCAAAAACAGAGGCTCGCTCTACTTTTCAAACAAACTAACCCTTCCTCAGCTGCAGGTGGACACACTGGCTCACATTCTGGCCATCAACCTAGATTTTCTGTGGGAGTGTGTTTTTTGTTTGTGAGTGTGTGTAGAGGGAGATCAGGGAGTTAATGCGGCAGGCCTGTGGCGATCCTCCTGCCCTCAGCCAGATTAATCATGCAGCAGACCCCGTTCCCTCTGCCTGGGGGCCGAACCATGTCCGCATGCTCTCCCCATCACATGGCCCAGGCCCCCTCTCTTTTCCTCAACACAGCTCCTCTGGGGTAGAGGCGGGGGGAGGCGGAACGCCCCAGAACGCCACACTTTGCTTCCTTTGCTCTTTCTTTCTTCTTTTCCCTTCTGTGGGCATCAGGAGATAGATTCAGGGAGAGAAAAACAGAAGCGTCCATCTCATCTTCCCTCCACCACAGCGGCAACAACGGCCCCTTTTTATTGCTCATTGGAGGACCCCAACAGCGGGGGCCAGGTTTTGCAGTGGTGGTGGTGGGGGGGTTCTGTTTGCCAGGGGCCTCCCACACTTGCCTGGAAACAACTCACCGACGTCTCTGTGCATAGGAGAACAGCCTATTGTTGCATCCACTATTGCAGGACTGGGCACTAGCTCCCATTTGTCTGTGTCTTTTGACTGGTTAGCGAGCTAGTGTGCCTTCACACAGGGCCAATGACGCATTTAAAGATCTAGATGATGTCATACACTAGGAAAGAAGAAATCTTGTGTAGCTCACAACATCTACCACAAACACACTTGTGCTTGAAGTTTGCGATATTATTCATGGATGAAACACACAATTTGAAACGTTCTGTTGTATGGCCGTCATGTTTTCTTAAAACAAAAACCAAGATCAAGAGGCACTTGGCAGCCAGATACAATGGCAAACTGAATGAAAGCTCAGATAGTAGGCATAAGTACTTTCCTCTATTCTAAAGCCTTGCCATGACAGGAAGTGCACAAGACTGTCACATGTCTTAAAAATGTCCACATGCAGTGCCCTTAAAGGTGCTATATGTATTTTTTAGCGGCCTCTATTGGTGATGTTTCTGGTTGCAACCAATGTTTACAAGAGCGCTAATGCTCTTTGCGCGTGCTCGAACACAAGAGTATGCACTCATGGTACCGGCCACACTGAGACTTTCAACACACCGGAGAAAGCATCACACAAGAAATGTAAACTCCCACACCAACGTTCCAATAATAAGCTACTTTTATCAGCTTGACGTTGAATAATGCTCCATGCTCGTACCAAGATAATGTTACATTTTTGATGTTATCGAGTATAAAGCATTTCAATAACTATTCGAAGACCCTTATTCATTGTCTGGTGTCGTTTAAAGCTGCACTGAAACTCTCATTTGGACCTTGAACCGTTTGGTTCCCGATGAAGTCCATTATATGGAGAAAATTTCTTTTCGACTGAAGAAAGAAAGATGTGGACATCTTGGATGACATGGGGGTGAGTAAATTATCAGCCAAAGTTTTTTTTAAAAGTGAACTACTCCTTTAATTAGAAGCATCACAATTTTAAATGTGTGTCTTGTTAGTTACTTAATTATTGAATAGACATGTATAAGTTTATTTTAAAATGCAAAGTATTGAAAAGATAATAAATAAAAGCTCTGTAAACATTTGCACTTTTTGCAAGACTAAGAGTGCTCCATCGAGTAATCAAAAGTTCAACGCACACTTGCAGTCTTTACGGCTACTTGAACACCTGGGCTAAATAGAGGAAATACGTCATGCAATTAGACAAGTGGTCTCTGTTAGGTCTAACAGCAAACAATGTCTCATATATATATATATATATATATATATATATATATGACATATTGATATATATATATATATATTCATATAAATATACATATATATATATATATATACACACATACCAAGCTTATTCCTATTATCTGAAACCGGAATTATCTAAAAACTTGAGTGTTTTGAGTAAACTTGGTATATATATATATATACCAAGCTTATTCATAACACTCTTCTGTTTCCAGATAATTCCGGTGTCGCTAATGTTATTGCTACAGAAACTAGCTCATAAATGTTCTGATCAGCCAATTATGCATAAAAAGTAAAAAAAAAATGGTCCATTTTAAACACAAGTCTAACATTAAGGTGTTATATTTAAAGCACTTTGTGTTATGAAAGCGCTGTGACGACACTCTTAACTAATAATTTGCAATAAACTTTTACTGTAGTCTCCCATCTGGCTTGTGGGCCTTATTTCTCTAACTAGCTCTGCTTTATTGTGAGCAGCAAGCAGAGGGCATCCAAGAGAAGAGCTCACTCTCCAACCTGACCACCAGAAGCAGCTAAAATACACTTGATGTGTGCAATATTTACAGTCTATATGATTTATAAGCCAACTCTTTCATGAATGATGCACTGTAATTCATTGCGCAAAAAACATTGCATATTCTGACTGTGCATCAAAGAGGATATTAAATGTTTTTGACTACATGACTTGACCTCAGATGACTCCAGTAAATGCTTGTCATAAGCACATGTTGAACAAACGATAAACCAGATGTAACCAGAGGCAGAAGGGGGTTTGATCATTTTATTACAGAGGCAATATCCCACACTTATCCTGTATGTGTGGACAGGTCATTCAAGACTTAGAGTAATTATATAAACTCTTCCAGATCACAACACGTAAAAAAAAACAACAACAACAGTAAGTGCAAGCAAATGTGAATGTGAGAAAACAATTTACATGAAGGTGACCACTGCCCTACTAACCTGATTGCCAAAGATTGAAAACTTAAACATAAGACCAACAACCTTCAAGTAAAGGTCTGGCTAGGATATATATACATAAAAAAACAAACATGAAACCAGCAACAGAGAATTGATAGACCAATATCAGCCAGGCTGATTAATTAGCCAATATTTGGCACTGTCTAGAGTAGTTTCAGTTCCAAAATGTAGCTTTGTCAGTGAATTTCCTAGTATTTTTAATGACTTGAGTAAATATTGAATAATTCATTTTAATTCAGCAACTTTATGTACATCTTAATTGCTAGAATTAAGTAGTAAATTACAATAAACATGGGCATTATATAAGCCACCCTGCACTCTGATATTGCATTGGCCAAAAAAAAAAAAAAAAAAAAAAAACGGGTTTGACCGTTTCCCCACTAAAACATGACGGCCTTAACACACACTCCGGCCTTCATGTTTTGCGGACTGATTCAATTTGGTTAGGCACGATTTTTTTTTTTTTTTTGGAGTTATCTCAATCTTATACAGATTTCATGTGACCCTTTAAAACAGAAAGGCACTTGTAAATATGCATCTGAGTGCAGTTTAGAGATACAGCCAGGTCAACAATATTGCCGAATGTTTAAGTGATAGATCTGGCGTTTCATTCCTGCTGATATTTTTTTACAAATCCCTCATACCATGTCACAAATAACAAAACATGCAGCAATACTGAAAAAAATAATTACCTTTCATTAATTTGGTAGCTAAAATACTCAAATTCCTGAGAGAGACCAAGCACCACACCCTTCAAATGTAGCCGATGACCGCATCCCCCTGGCTAGCTGTCCTGATTGCGCCGCAGGGGTTGGTCCTTTGTTGATTACCTGAGAGAGGGTGCGGGGCGGAGTCTCAAGTGGTTAGGCTTTTCTGGGATTGGAGGTTTGTTGGCACGGGGTGGCGTTTGGCAGGCCGGAGACTCACTGGACACACTGAAAGTTTTCATGAGCTGAGCAACACGTCCTCGTCCCGAACACTTCTCCACAGCTACCTCGGACCCCACATCCACAGAAAACGCCCGTTTAGAGGCGGCAACCACTCGGAAATCACCTGTAAATGGAGTAAGAGTGATGAGACGAGGACTTATGACCTTCAAGGTCTGTTTTCATAGGCGACAACTTCAAAACGTTCTCACAATCGTCCTCTCCCACACCACACCTTTCGCCTGCCCTTTTCCCTCGCTCAGTTTTTCACTTCTCTTCTGCCCTTTTTCAGCCTCGTTTCAGTGTCTCTGGCTCTTTTTTCCTCGGCTACAGACTGCCAGACCGGAGGTCGTCAGCGCAGGAAGTAGAACAGGGACGCAGCTGGGTGTAGTTGGTGTGTGTGTGTGTTTGTGTACACGGTTATGGGTGCGTAAGAGTGTGCGGTTATACTGTGTGTGTGTAATTGAGAGATGGAGGGATGGAAGATGAGGAGAAGAGGGCCGCAGGGATGGCGGCGGAGAGCAGACAGACGCTGCTCAGACACCAGAAGGCTTGAGGAGCTGCTTATTTTTAGCCACGTCCCCAGGGGACACAGATGTGTGAGTGCGTTCGCTCTTTCGCTCGCTCTCACAAACACATATACCCCTTCTCCTTTACACACACAAACTATGACACACATTTTACCCCTAACAAACTCTTTCTCCTAAAAACGCTCCATCACACACCCTGATCAAAGACACAAACCCACATGTGGCTGTGCCAGTGGAAATGTCCCAGTGTTAAATTGCATTTCTTAATAGCATACATATTTCTTTAAAAAGCGATCAGAATGAATTTTTGCATGCGTATTTATGAGGAAAATTTATGAGGAAAATAATGTATCAATAAAGTAAACAATTGAAAAATTTTTTTTTTACTATTTAAAAGTAAAAATATAAAAGTATAGTATTAATAGTACTAATAATGCAAACAATATCTTCAAAAAAGTTTAAGCTTTTTAAACGTGTATGTTTATATATATATATATATATATATATATATATATATATGAAGAGTTCAGATGCAAAAGCCTCTAAGTGCCATTTGAAATTTTCTTCTAAAATGATCATTTTTATCAAGCCTGTATATTTAAGTTCAGTAATTTCACTTAAATGGCAATGAAGATTACCTATTAATTGTCATTTAAGTGAAATTACTGAACTTAAATATACAAGCTTGATAAAAATGGTCATTTTAGAAGAAAATTTCAAATGGCATTTAGAGGCTTTTGCATCTGAACTCTTCATATATATATATAATATAAAAACATACAAGTTTATAAAGCAAAAACTTAAAAGCAAAATACTATTTTTTTTATTTTGGGGTGAAATTTGACCCATGAGATTCACTTGCTTCTCAAGTTCTGCTCAATCTTCTTTCTGCCTGCCTTTCCTCTCTCTCCCTCTCCCTCCCTCCCTCCCCGTGGCCCCTGACCTGTGGTTCCTGTGTTAATGTCCTCTCGCCGCACTGCGTGGGCCTGCCACTGATTGTCTCACTGTGTTGTGTGGTCACCACGGAAACCCTGGATAGGCTCCAGCGACTGAGGCGGACAGCACTCTTACGCATACACACTCTCAGAGTCAAACTCGTGATCTAAAGCTGTTTGTTCCACCGCATTTTCCACGCCCCACTAGTAGTCCGTTCTGTGTCCTACAAACACACGTGTGCTTGCGTGCATGTCCGTGACTATACGTTCACACACACACAGGTTCCCTGCTGTTAGCTGACACCAGCGTAACGACAACGCCTCTCTCCCTCATCGCTGTTTGCCGTTTTCCATCCTCCCACAACCCCTCTAAACCTGAGACACTTTCACAGAGCTATCACCCCCCACCTCAAAAGCTGAAACCAAACTCTCGGTCCAGACCGGCCAAAACTGCCCCTGCCGGCCTCACCATGCAATCACTTGTGACAAAGCCTGTAAAAGCACCTGACTGCAACGAACCGAACAGCAAAACTGCTCTCCGCTTGCCCCGTCAATAACTGATGTGTCCCTGAAAACAGGAACGCATTCAACGGGATGTTTTCGATTTCACAGTCACCATGTGTAGACCGAACAGATGACCCAGACTGACAACCCAGCGCCTCTTAAAAGCACGCTATCTCTTTAAAAGCCCCCACCTCTGTGAATGGGGGGGGGATTTAGAAGTGGGGCAGAGGGCAGAATTCCGGAGCAGCACGTCTGTGCGCTGAGCCAGGCCGCAGGGGGGTCACGGCTGCCAGGGGGAGGTGGGGAGGGGGGTGTAGCGGAGCGGAGGCTGGGGGCCCTGTCACTTATCAGCTCCGGCCGAGCGTCGCCCAGGGCCAGAGTCGGGAAGCAGCGCTGGAATGTGTGTCCTTCCCTCTGAAGGTGAAGAGAAGGGACACACACACATACACACACACACGTGCATGCATGCAGAGACGGAACGAGCAGCTGTGGGAAGCTGTTGCTTTCACGCACATACCAGGATGAACATACACTATTCGCACGCTCTCAAAGTTGAACACTCACACAAACACAAACGAAAGATGAACACTAAAGCCTATCCAAGTGTATATCCTAGAGATTTTTTTTATTTTTACAAGCAACAAAAATATTCTAGATTAAAAATGTGCTTGATTACCTTACCTGGATTGGGTTTATGTGAGAGCTTTGGGGGGAGTTACGGGCTGCATTTCACTTTTATGTCCAGCAGGGGGACTCAACAGAAACAGCAGAAGTGAACTGCGTGTAATTCTTAATAATACACACTGGATGGCGCAAGTTGAGCTTTTTGAGTAAGTCCTAACATCTGTTGAGGTGGTTCACAACAGGATATCGTTCAGTTTGTTTGTAATGAGCAAGATATCGGTTTTGGGACGAACCAGAAGAGCAAATGAGAAGCCAAAGAAAATCTGACAGATTTCAGAGACACTTGTTTTTGCCTCTATTTCTATTGTTGCAAAGACAGCCATGCCAGATCACAAAGACTCAAAGTCTTTTCAGAGAAATTTTCTTCTGCAAAAGCAAATGGATGAAACTCATGAAGGCTGAAAAGAAATGTCTCATTTCATCCTAAAATAAAAAATAAAAATATTCGCTTTTCCTGATCTTTAAGCATATTAAGACTACATTGCCTTTAAATTTGCTTTTTAATTAAATGTAATGACAATTGGGGAGAAAATTGTGCTTTTCATGAAAACCGCCAAGGACAAATCTTAAAGGTCCTACAATAAGCTTTATTTTCTTTCAGCAAAATTTGATTAATTCATTTATTTTTTATTTTGAGGTGAAATTTGACCTTGACATTTTCTTGTGGTCAAACATCTAAAAAGATTTTCTGCCACATTTAACCCATTTTCAAATTAAATGAAATATCTCACTGAATCAGTCATGGAAACCAGTGATTCAACGAGAGATACAGTAAGTGCGATGCCAGTGTCAAAGAAACCATGTTTATGTTCAGATTATCACAAAATGGATCAGCATAAATTCCCCCTGAATATAAATAAAAATAAACAACACACAAACACATATGGGAGACTGGAAGGATATATAAACACCCGACTCTCACCTCTGTTGATCTGAGGTTTGGGGGTGTCTTGGGGATGGAGTCTGGAGGCGTCAGACAGCTGATTGGTCGCCGTGTCCTCAGTGTCTGTATAGACAGGTCTGCTGAGAGCCGAGGGTGTCTGGAGGCAAGATCTCGGATGGGCCCGATAGCAAATTGAGGACAATAGTGCTGAGTCATCCTTTGAGTGTCCTGACTCAGCCTCCTCTCTGGACTCCTGAGGCTGATGGGATACCTGCCACAGAAACAAATAAACCATTTATAAAAGAAGCACACTGGATTGAGTATCCTGATAGTTTTAAACAGAGCACCGTTAAAACATTCAATAGAGGAAAGGGAGGACAAAAACACAAATGAGATCTTGTTAATATTGTATATAGGCAGCTATGAGATTAAACAGAGCAAATTAAAACTTTAGCTTTTCTCTGGTGAAACACAGACCACAGCAATTTCACATGTCGCCTCTAAAGTTTCAGAAAAGATCTCCACAATATCACATACTTCAAATTCAATACATTTCATCAAATGACCTGGTCTATGGTATTCACATTAGGTCAACAGCATCTCGTTTCTCATATTTTAGGAGGAATATCCAAGACAAAGGAGATAATCCAATGAGAAAGATGAAGCTCTTAACAATAACAACCTTAAGACAACACCAAACAATTGGTCTTTTGTAAATCTACAATTCTTTTAGGCTATTTTACACCTCAGGAATAAATGAAATCTTGACATTAAGAAACGTAAAGATGGCTTGTTCATTTGACATTTCTTACCTTTCCTTTATGAGGTTAATAAAATAAAAATAAAAATAAACAAATGCAAAAAATAAGTAAATAAAAATTATAAAACAGCCTAAAATTAAAATAAATAAATAAATAAATGGCTTGAAAATTACCTAAAACAAACATAAAACAGCCAAAAATAAAATAATGGCAATAATAATAATACATTTAATGGCTAAAGTTACTCAAGTAAGAATAAATAAAAATAAATAAATAGATAAAAATAGCTCTGGAGTGAAAATGGCTCAGCAGATATTGCAGGCCTGGACTGTAACAAGCACAGATCGTGTTTAGTGTTTATACATATGAAACAAGAAACGTGTGATGTGTGAGGACTTGCCCTGCCCAGGGGTTTGTGAATATTGAGGAATAAATCTGTTGTGAAACGAGAGAGGAAAGTGGAAGAGGGAAAGAAGGGTCCCTGCCCAAACCCTAAGGGACAATCCCACAATCCCATCCATCTGTGACTGACAGGCGCGCCGCATCGCCTGCTTTAATTCCCTGATCAACTTTATCAACCATCTGCTCTTGAAGAACTCAAGGACCCAAATCAGCCCCTGGGCTCTCTCAGGTCCTCCTGCAGCGCACACAAACACCCTTCCTGTCCTCATACTCGGACACACAGGCCACATACTGAGAGCAGCACTCCATTATCGCCATCTCTGTCAGCATTTCAAACGACCTAAAATCCATCTCAGTCGATTACAGGCTTACATGTGTTTTATGTTTTAATTATTCCTCTTTGTGTAAGATTGTTATAAAAAAATGGGAGGGACACTAATTATCAGGTTGCTCATGAATATTAAATTGCAGGACTTGAAACTTGGACGAAATGCATGCACACTCATCTAAGACTGTTTAAAGCACATGTCGTGTTCAGCTGTTGCGGGGTAGAAGGGTCAAGAGCCTGAAACAGGTGTGCTCAGAGTGGCAGAGAGTGACAGCTGAGGGTAAATCGACCTCAAGATGAGAGCACAAGGACAGCTGCTCTGACCTCAACCCCCCTCAACTCAGAGCAGTGCGCCCAAACAGACCAGACATTCAGGGAGGACATTCCAATGAACCGGCATTGGAATATATTATATATTATACATACATAAACATATATATATTACATATTTTATATATATATATATATATATATACAGTATATATATATATATATAAGGGCTGTACAAAACTTAATTGCGATTAATCGCATCCAAAATAAAAGTCTGTGTTTACATAATATATTTGTGTGTGCTGTATATAATTATTTTGTATATATAAATACCTATGCATGCATGTATATATTTAAGAAATATTTGTGCTTAAATTCTGTATATATATATATATATATATATATATATATATACATAATCTATATTATATAAATATAAATATTTTATATATGAATAACACATTTTGTTAAATATATACATGCATGTGTGTGTATTTATATATACAAAATAATTATATACAGCACACACAAATATATTATGTAAACACAGACTTTTATTTTGGATGCGATTAATCGCAATTAATTTTTGCACAGCCCTTATATATATATATATATATATATATACTCCCCTCCCTTCTCACAGCTGTCAACGCCCATTTAAGTTGCATTTTTCAAAAAGATTGTGAGCTAGACTTGAGCTGAAATAGGGGGGTTTCATGACCATTTAAGGCCCAGTTTCGACCGAGCTCTACAGTACGCAATTTTTGCCGTTTCCATTGTCAAAAGTTGTGAATGATACCCTAATTCCGAACCGTGCCGAATAATATTGTAATACTATCCTGTAAATCTTGGTGGAAACGAGGCATAAGTTCTGCCCTACATCTTTTTCTAGTCCGAAAAGCTGTTTCGTGAAATAGAAAAGGGCAGACAGATAGAAAGAGAGCAGAGAAATAATTCCAATCTGTTGATTCGCTCTGTGTTAAATGGCAGCAGTATCAATGAACAGTGGCCATTAGATCCTGGGACTTTCCAACAGCCTCTGGTGTAAATGAGATCTCTGTGATCATAGCATATCACATGAGGTAAATGAGTCTGCGATAATGAAAAATGACTTGAAATTGTGAACAGTGTAAATTCCCTGTACCAAAACTTGTATACATGCTAAAATATAGAGAAATAAATATGGTGTTTATATTATACATTTAAAATAATATAACATTTTGCTCTGCTCTCATTGGTAATACCATGGTATTTTATATGCACATACCATGATAGTGTCCAAAAAACAGCATATTTTAATGGATTAGATATTTGTATTTAAAAACAACTCTACACATTACTATACTAAACATATGAAACATGGTACTTACATTATCTAAAGGTGCTGATGGCTTTTCTTCATTTACTGGCATCTGCAGGATTAAGAGAAGACATTTAGAAAAAAAACCCCAAAACACTCATTTTTAAGTATCCTCATTGTTGAACATCCTATCTGCTGCAATACCACAACTCACCTGTGGGGGCGGCAGAGTCCTTAACTCTTTGTCACTGTTGTCCTGTGAAAACAAGCACAGACTGAACAAAACTCTTCCACACTTCTATATGTAATTTTATCATTGCAATCTTAAGTTGACAATGATAATAGCCGGTCAACTCCACGATCTGTTCAAAATCTGAAAGTCCTCAGATGGTGTTTCTGTGACTATCATGCAGCCCTTCACTAATTGGAAACATTGAGCCACATGTGTCGAGGTACAGGGACAGATGCTTGTGTTTAGCAAGTAGAGGATCATAGTGTGGTGATACTGGCCAGCACATCTTCTCCCAGGAGTGCGTTCGCTGCGCACGTTGTTGCCATGGAAACCCTAGTGCGAACACCCCCTCCCACCCCCCACCTTAGTATAACAGGAAAGAGAAGGTGGCGAGATCTCCACGTATTAAGTGCAAAAAAGAAAGACAATTTTAAGACACTTTTGGGGCTGAGATACAGATTATGCACACACAAACATTCATTAAAGATGACATCACTGCACTTTCATACTGTATTCCATCCTACAAGTGATCAAAAAAAAAAAAAAAAACACACCCAGCTATATCTACAGTATTGTTATGGGTGGCCCCACCCACTCCGAATTCTAATTGGTCCAAAAATCATGCTCTTCATAACGGTGCATTAAATATAAATTCAAATACGTTTATCACATCGCACAATAATTTAATGTTCAAATTCACATGGTAGGGAACTTGTTGAATCATTCGGCATAAGTTGGACCGTCTGTCAGTTCAAAATGTCATGGATGTCAATTGGCCACACATAGATGGAAATATTGATACATGAGCAGAGAGAGAGATGGAGCCACAAAGAGCCAAGCAATGAGAGAGTTGTTGTGAGAGATGGAGAGGTGGGTGGGTGCATGTGGGAGGGTTTCTTTTTTAAAAGGATGAAAAGGAATAATGGAGGAGAACGGAATGAAAATAGGAGGAAAGCGGAAAGGAAGGCACAAAAAGAGGGAGAGATGGAGGTTGTGATTTATTTGGCTGTTGAACGATGACTCTCCCTGTGGAGAAAGTCCGTCTCACTGCCCCTCGGCTGTGTCCGAGATTAATGGCGGCAACAGGAAGGTCACCTACACACACACACTCGCACACACAGCCACATGAAAACACAGTGGCACCAATTTAAAAGTGGCGCAAACGTGGAGGTAAACAAACACCCACACGTGAACACACCTTAAAGTTCAGCTGAACTCCTGAATGTGCTTTAGGAGGCAGGTTTTCTCGTCCTGATCGCACAGGTTCTGCTGATGTTCGGTTTGTCAAGTTGCTCTTCAAAGTGCCGGGCTGGTTGCTTGAATACATGACAAGACACGTGGAAGCACAACAAATGAATCAACGCCCTTCACAAGCAAACAAGTTTTCATGACACACTGTTGAGACAGAATTTCTTTGGAATAATCATTTACAGTTTTGCGACCCCGTTTTTTTCTCAGGTTTGTAGACCCTGCGTAGATTCTGTTTTGCATTAGTTCAGGAAAAAGTTTAAAATTTTTGAACTACATTTATTTACACTACTGTTCAAAAGTTACAGTAAGAGATTTTTTTTTCTTTGAAAGAAAATACATTTATTCTGCACGGATGCAGCACATTGATCAAAAGTTAGATTCTATGTTAAAAATTCAGCTTTGTCATCACAGGCAGGCTGATCTCATGAAATGGCGTATGAATGACACGCCAATTTGTATTTCCATTTTTGGCGCGCTATCAACACGCATAATCGCTTGTCAGCGCGTTTATGAACCCCGTTGACTTAACGTTACATTACTGTATATATAAATATATGACCTACCCCAACCCCGTCCCTAAACCTACCCGTCACTGGGGTTAATACCATTTATGAGTCTTACCCTACCATCCTACACTGTAAAAAAATATTGTTGGTTTAACTTAAAAAAAAATTAAGTAACCTGGTTGCGTTAAAATTTTAAGTTCATTGAAATTGAAAAAAAAATAGTTAATACAATGGGGAGATTGATTTAAAAGGAGATTGGAGATTGATTTAATCATCAGAAACTTAAAATATGAAGTTATCTGAACCACATAAATTATTTAAGTTGATTTGACCAAAGAAAAAAATGTTGTGATTACAAACCATGAAAATATTTTTTAACAAAGGAAAAAAAAAAAAAAAAAAAAAAAAAAAAAAAATGCTCCCCAGATGTAGATCTACATTTTGTTTCGTTTCGCTCGGGGTGTACATACAGACGGAATCAAGCGGACATTTAACGGCGTAGTAGACATACACGCGGACCACTCAAAATGCGTTTTGCGTATGTTTACGCAAAAGTCATGACGTCATGTTGTCACAGGAATAAATGACACTTTAAGATACTTATAATAATAAGTTGGCCTCATAAAATAAAAAATACTACTAATAATAATTCACTATCTTTGTACGGTATTTTTTGCTCAAATAAACGCAGCCTTGTTGAACAGAAGAGACTTCTTGCAAAAACAAATCTTACTGTCCTCAAATTTTTAAACCGTATTGCAAATATTTATGAAACACTGCATGATCAGGTAGTGTTCAAACTAAAAAAGTTGTGTCCATACTGTGAATTGTTGAGGACGCTGGCCGTTTTTCTCTCTCCAAAACCTGAATAGATGATCTTGGAGGACTTGAGTTCATCCATCTCTTCGATGACAATGACCTGTACGTCTCCATCTCGTCCCAGCAGCCAGCTGACACTCTTGCTATGAGCTTACAAAGGGAAAGAAAAAAAGAACGATCATCATTTATGTATTTAAATGTACTATTATACTTCATAATTTATGCATTGTTTCCAGAATGCACTCAACTATGACAAGACTCATTTTTGATCAAAAGAAACAGTGTTGTAAAACAGTTTAAGGATGCTTATTGTATCTGTAAAACTAAACGTCCTATTTTAATCACTGCACATTTTTGTATGAGGAGGAATTTCCTTTGTGAACTACTTGTTGCCAAGTATTTCCAACAAATAGTGAGAGGAATTTAAATTGAGAGTTAGTTACAAATGACATAATAGAGAGACAAAAAAAGGTTTGACAGCAAATCAGAAAAACCCTCCCATGATGATGAACTGGTTCTTCTTGCAGGCCCTGTGGCGAAACAACAAGATTCCAGTTTAACAGCCTGACTGACACACTCGTGACAAAACTAACATCAAATCAAACCGTCTAAAACTGCAGTAAGAGCTAAAAGGACCATGTGAAACCAAAGTTTAGCATAACACAATGGATTTAATAAGTAATTGATCAATGCTTTTGCTGTTTTTATTACATACTGTATATAATGATTCCTGCCAGTAACTCGTTGATTTTGGGCCCAGGTTAAACCTAACGTTGGTTACAAAATATTAAATGCGACTAATATTTTATACATTTCAGGCATTAAAAGGAAAAGGGTTATTTATTATCAATATTTTAGCAGCAGAGTTCATCTTAAGCCAGAGTCCCAAAACCATATTTTCAGGAGTATTTGAAATACTCAATACTCAAAGAAAATACAGTCTTAGACTCAGACTTGAGAGTATTATATTATTTTTATATCCACATTGATGACAACAAAATAGCATATTATATATGCAGCATTTAAAGGAGAAGACCTTTTTACACAACACCTCATAGTTAGATGCTTTAGCCCTGGTCTCTCCAAAAATATACACTATCGTTCAGTTTGGGGTCGCTAAGACGTTTTGGAAAGTCTCTTATGCTCACTAAAGCTGCATGCATTTATTTAATCAAAAATCCAGTAAAACAGTAATATTGTGAAATTATAATTTTCTATATTTATTTATTTTAATTTTAAAATGCAATTTATTCCAGTGATGGTAAAGCTGAATGACCTTTAGAAATTATTCTAAAATTAGCTGCTCAATAAATGTTGAGTTTATTGAAAATGACAATTGAAAACAGTTATGCTTGATTTTTGTGGAAACGGATCGTTTATTTGAAACGGAAGCATTTTATTGCAGTGTCTTTACGGTCACTTTATATCAAAATAATGAACATTCTTGCTGAAAAAACAAAATTACTTTTTCGAAAGTAAGAAAATTATCGAAATGAAAAATCATATTGACACCAAATGTTTGAATGGTAGCGTTAAAAAGTAAGACAGTATAAAACTAAGTTACAAGACAAAGATTGTGTTTACAACTATTGATAATCAGAAATACAATCGGTCTCCTCCCCACATTCTCCCTTTCTCTTCCTCCTCAGTGTGTTTTGAGTGCCTGTGTTTCCTGTATACTTCCTGCTTTGTTGGCAGTCATGTGTGTGAGGGAATGGAACTAGGCCTGGCTGAAATTTCCTTTGCTCTTAAAACTGGGTCAGTAACAGAAGTGTTTCCCCTGACTTGTGTAGCCAGCCTCCAGAGACTCCCTTTATTGTTATTTTATTATCGCATAGTATTACTCTGTAACAGAATCTTGATTGACTTTTGACATTTTAACCACTTTCCTAACAGGAACCCGTCTATAAGACAGAGATTTCACAGTGGCAATCAAGATGTTGTATCAGTGTGTCTTGGGGAAACCACTGACCTGCAAGAACAGCTGCAGTTGTCTAAAGGAGATAGAGACTCAGGGACTCAGGGATCTGATAACACAACTGCTTTGTTATTAGCCAAAGACGACTTCCTGTAGGAGTTACGCATGTCAACCTAAATTATTTCGATGGTCTGCACATTATTTACCCAAGAAAATGACTATACTGTGGCCTCAAAGAGTTTTTGGACACTTGAGCCACATCATTGACTAATCTAATTCTGTCATCTGTGATCTTTTTAGACCATGAAAGTTATGTCTCTTCCAGTAACAAAGCCGAAATCCCAAATTCCTTAAGTTTTCTGTACGTCTAACCAGTTTAAACCGGGTTGTAACTTTAGCCACGCAATGCAAAGTTTCATTTTTCATTCTTTTGTTTGCGTTTTCACTGCTCTCCAGCTCTTTTCCTGTTTTACAGATACCCTCTATCTCTCAGATGCATTCCTCTCATATCTCAGCTGTTTACTCCTCCCTCTCAGCCAGTTTTAGACACTTGTCCTCCTCACACAAGTCTCGTACGTGTGACGTCCGAGACCATTGAGTGTTAAGAAGTGGTGACTTTAAAGGGGAATGTTGTAAATGAATTCTTTACCAGATGTTTACAGTGTTTCAGTGTCACACAGAAGATCCGTTAAAGGAGTAGTTCACTTTAAAAAAAACTTTTGCTGATAATTTACTCACCCCCATGTCATCCAAGATGTCCATGTCTTTCTTTCTTCAGTCTGTTTTTGATGAAAACATTCCAGGATTTTTCTCCATATAATGGACTTCAATGGGAACCAAACGGTTCACGGTCCAAAAGACAGTTTCAGTGCAAACTGTTCAAAGGGCTTTAAACGATTTCAGGCAACGAATTAGGGTCTTATTTAGCAAAACGATCACTTGTTTAAAAAAAAGTTTTTTTTTTTAAAGTTTTATAAGCTCAAATGGTCGCCTTGCTCTGTTCTGTGATGCACGTTTGTGACTCTCCTATTCAAACTCGTTCATCAAAATGAACGAATCTTTTCCCGAGTCAACTCGTTCATTTCGTTCGTTGAATGAACCAAATGACATGAAAAAAGATTAGTTCATTGTGATAAACGAGTTCGAAACACGAGAGTCACGTACGCGCATCACAGAACAGAGCATTTTTTAATGAGCGATCGTTTCGCTTGATAAGACCCTTATTCATCGTCTGAAATCGTTTAAAGCCCTTTGAACAGTTTGGAATGTTTTCATCAAAAACCTTAATTTCTTTTCGACTGAAGAAAGAAAGATGTGGACATCTTGGATGACATGGGGGTGAGTAAATTATCAGCAAAAGTTTTTTAAAAGTGAACTACTCCTTTAACAAATATTTGCTGGTCAAGCAAATTTTCCATTGAAGTCTTCTGCTCAGTCAAAAGATTGTAAACTTGTCTGGTCTTGTGTCTGTCAGTGACAGATGTTCCCATCAATAAGGTCCCATCTCAAACATATACTCTAGCGTTTCAAAGCAGTATCTGTTTTCCAAACATCTGCGTCCACCTCAACGAGACATTACAAGACACTTTCCCATGTAGTCTGCAGATCCATAGTGGCGAACCGTGTTTTATCAGCTCAGCTATTCTGTCCTGACTGAGTCATGTGCCACATTAAGATTCTGACCATATTAAGTCATTTAAAGTCAGCAATATAAAGCAGGAGCAGGCTGGCCTGGAACGATTTTTTCAGCTTTCTGAGGCCAACAGATGTGGGAACAGTAAACGCACTGATTAAAGATCTGCACTAGCGATTCAAAGGTCCCACATTCAAACCTCAAGATGATCAAAAGCCTTGATCTAAACAGATACTGATGAGTTGCTGTATGACCACGTGAATAAGAACTTTAACTTCAGAAAGACTCTTAGAGGAGACATACAGTTCAAATGTTATTATAGTCACTAGTACCATCCTCTTGCTTTTTTCCCCCACTTCCATTTCATGAAAATGCATGCTGACTACGGGCTGTCAAGTTTAATTTCTGAACAATAATATAACTTTAGAACTCGCTTAATATATAAGATATAATTTATATAATTAAATTTATACAATTATTTGAGCTTTATATATATATATATATATATATATAAGATATATAAGATAAGATGCACAGATCACATAACACATCAATTTTAGATTGCTTAGGTGCAATGTAAACCTAGTTCCCACCTGTCTTTGGTTTGGGTTTGAGTGGTTCCCTCTCCAGCTTCTCCTCACACTCTTTCCAGCGTCGCACCTGCTCCTCGCGCATCTTCAGGAAGAGCGTCTTCTTCTGCTCGTCGTTCAGAGCATCCAGCACATCCGGGTCGATGTACATATCATTTAAGATCTGCTGCAGCATGGCCGTGTGTGTGGTGCACCAGAATAGATCCTGAGATTCAGCAACAGCCCTTCAGAACGAGGATGACGGTGGTAAAGACGATGAAGCCCAGCTTGATCCGTTCACCACACACACGCTCTCATCACTGATCAGAACCCATCAACTGGACACGCTGTCACAAGGAATGACAGATTACAACATCTGGAAGCAATCTGATCTCTTTAATTGTTTGTTTGCCCTTTCTTTTCCTCTGCAGTTTTAGACTTTTTGTATGGCATGTTAAATGAACAGTATGCCAATAAAGTTTCTGCTTTCTTTCTGTCTTTCTTTCAAAGAGGATGTATGGGAACATTTAAATATATTTTTCTAAATCATTGATTAAAATATTTTAAATAACTCAAATAAAATATTACAATATCTATTTTTTAGACTGTTAACTTTAAAGATATTAATTATATATACTGAATGCATTTTATATAATTTACATATTGATATAATTATCCATTTTTAAAACTGTTTATAATTTTTAGAGCTGTCAAACGATTAATCGAATTCCAAAATAAAAGTTTGTGTTTACATAATATATGTGGGTGCACTGTGTATAATTATTTTGTGTGTCTATATATATATATATATATATATATATATATATATAAACACATGAATGTATGTTTAAGAAAAAAAAATATTATTTAAATATAAAATATTTATATAATATAAATTATATATAAATCTATATACAGTATATACATGAAAATAATTCTTAAATATATACAAGCATGTGTGTGTATTTACATATATAAAATAAATATACACAGCGCACCCACATATATTATGTAAACACAAACTTTTATTTTGGATGCGATTAATCACGATTAATCGTTTGACAGCCCTAATAGTTTTATAATTATTTAAACAATTATTTAAAAAACAAATATAGGCCTATTTATAATTATTATAAAGGTTTATGCAAAATTACTTTAACAAAAGGTAAAATATGATACACTGACAACATATTACAAAGAAGACTTTAACAGCTTTAATATAATGCTGATATCACACTTCTGTCCTGATGCAGAATAAACAGAAATCAAATCAAAATTCATAGCAGCTTTTGTATTTTAGAAAGGGGGAATCATCATATTTGGTGGTCCTAGGTGTCATTTCTACTCAGACACAAGGTTTCACAGCTCTTTTTAAGGCCTGACTGTGTGATTCCTGAGGAACTAAAGTTTACTTCTGTTGTCAGCAGCTCCCCCTTTCTTTCACAATATACTTCTGCTCTGTCTTAGCATGCCGTGACCTGTTTAAGAGAGACAGTGGTCTACCACTACAAAAAAGAAGTCTGATACCCCATTACATATACACAAGCGGAGGAAAAGAGCCAACACGACAACAGCAACTAAGACAAAAGAGTTGATGTCTTCCTGCCTGCACATTTAATAGACTCCAGTTAATGTCTAGAAACAGAGATGGTGGCAAGTAGAAAGAAAGTTGGAAAGAGACGGGAAAAAAAGCCTGTGTGAAGTAAAATGTACTCACAGCTGGGTGCGGACGCTCCACGACAGACTTTAGTGTGAGGGAGAGAGTGAGAGTCTGTGTTTCCTTCTTGCCTTTGTGTATGACTTAGCTGGTGACATCACAGCATTCCATAGTCTCTCTCTCTTTTTTCTTTTGCTCTCTCTCACAAATGTACATTACACACTGTCCCTTGCCTTCGCACAAACACACACTTCCTTTCTTTTCCTGCAACTCTCATAGGCTGGAGTGAAACTCAGGAAGCAGACCTCAGCTGTTGGCACCGCAAACGAAGTAGCAGCATCCTGTTTTACAGAGACGGGGGAGATTTTGGGAGAGGAGGAGGAGGAGGGGCGACTAAAAGGAGAAGAAGAGAAAATGACACAGAACTTCACTCTTGAGCAAAGGAATTTACAGAGAAACGCTTCACATAACTCAGCATCTTTTCAGGGCCAAAAATAAAACACCACTGGACGTTATTTGCTGAAAAATAACGCACTTCCCCTCAGATTTTACCAGTGCTTCTAAATCAGCAGAACTTTTTTTAACCATTTAACTTATTTCCTTAAACGTTTGTGTTTACTGTAAATTAACATACACAAAGGACATTTACTGACAAGCTAAAAGCTAGTTCGTTTAAAAACGTAAAAAAGACGTTTACGCCAAAAGACATTAAATACGCATTAGATGTTTTACATTAATCACACACAAGATGGCGCCCGAGTGTTACATTTACCGATTGTACTGTGATACCTTCGGTTAATTAAATAAATAAATAAAAATAAATAAATAAATAAACAAAAACAATTCACAGATTTTTTTTTGTTTGGTCACAAACTTTCAGTCTTATTTGACATGCATCCAGCCATTGTGGAATTTAGTTTCCATTGGTTTTACTATCATCCTTCCCTCTCAGTTAGCTATTATTAGGTCTCTTGCCAATCACATTTTTTATCTGCAAGTATGTACCGTAAAGAAAAAGATTGTCTTTTGCAGATAGAAAAAGCAGACTGCCTTTGCTTCGTCACGGCTTCAATATTAAAGTTTAATCAACAGCGCCATCTAATGGTTTTCGACGAACGGTCATGAATGGATGTTAATTTTTAGGATTGTTTACCCCCCCAAAAAATGTTGTTTACCCCAAAAATATTCTGTCATAATTGACTTACCCAAATCAAATGTTGTTCTAAACTTCTATGACTTCGATAGAAAACAGAAGATGTAATTCTGAAGAATCATTGCACAGGTCTTTTCAAAACATTTCATGATGTCAAGATTCACTGAATTTCATGATTTGGTCCTATATAATACATTTGTGAGAGTAGTAACACCTAAAAACACTAGGTAATTTCCCCTCTCTCTTGAAGCGCTAGGCTTCAATTCAGATCCAAAAATGGTATCTTGACAAATTTGACCAACACGGCATCATTTTGTTCAATTTTTAATGTTACATCTTTAGTGGTTGTTTTTCAATGTTCTTTGAAATGTTCTTCTTGAGATTTCAGAATTACCACGCTTATGATTCAGTCTAGATATTGATGTTTTGGACTGCTGGACTGTTATTTTCAAGGTCAACCACCCATCCCTTTGAAACAATATCTGAGTGGAATATTCTGAATTGAATAGAATTCATCAAATTGAATGGAAAATGTCTTTTCAGCAGCAAACTACTCATATCACAAGTATGACAAAATGCATATTGAATAGCTACTAAAAACATAATATGTGCTGATTATATATATATCAATATATATATCAACATATAATCAGTCTTCAATATAAAATCAATAAATAATAATATTTTAATTTTAAAACAATTGATGTTATTATAAACAAATTAACAGGGACAATTGGGTCAATCTGATTTAGATAATGTCGGGATAAAAGTGAAAAGATAAAGACTGTTAAAAGTCTGGCCAAATTAGCGTCTTATAATTTATGACAATATTCAGCCAACAGATGGCGCATCTCTCAGATCAGAAAAACTGAATGACTGTCAAAGGGACTTTATTAGTTGTCTAAAAGAGACATTCAGGCAGTGTTGTTCAAAAGTCCATCCAGTGTGGAAACTATAGAATACAGGCTTGTTCACATTGTTGATCTGGTCCTTAAAGACACTCAAGACTGAAGCACAGACACTGTTTGCAGTTTCCAAGTAGATGTTTAGAAATAAAACAACTATGCTAGCACAGATGTTTAGAAATAAAGTAAGACAAATATTGTAGGTTCTTCCAAAAGTTCAAATATACTTTGTTTAAAGTAGTTATATGAACACTTAAGAGACTAAATTGAGAATATGGCTGCCACAATATGAAGGAGCATCTGACTAAAGACTAAGGACTAAACCAGACAAGGCTTCTGCTCAGGACAGATAACCCAAAACTGGCTCCTTGATGAAAGAACCACACCCGTCAGTGGTTTAACACAGAAGTAGGTCACTATAGTGACTCACAAGGCACTTAGGCTAGTGCTCAACATCTGGACACTTTAAAATGAATGAAAAGTGTCCTGAAAATTGTTTGAAATTCCACTGTTTTCTGTGCTATTGTATTTTTAACCTAGAAAAGTGAGTTAATACAATTAAGGAGATTAATGTAATCATCAGCAACTCAAAATAATAAGTTATCTCAACTAAATAAATTATTCTAAAGCTGATTTGACAAAAGAAAATATGTTGTGATAACAAATCTTGAAAATATTTTTTACAGTGTGTGTTTATTAATATTATGAATTAATTTATTTTTTTATTTTTAGTTTACACTTTAAATGTTAGGTTTCAGTAATAATTTAGTGTTTTGGGCATTTTTATTATTATTTTAATAAAGGGTCTAAAAGGTAATTTCCCATTCTTCTAATTATTATTTTGTGTTGCTTTAATTGGATACTCACGGGCAGGCCTCTATTTCTACGTTTATTATGAAATTAAAAATGTTGCAGTAACCATTTAAGTCTGAAGACGGCGCCAAGTGTTGCACGACTCTGACAAAGTTGACCTTTAGGTAGGCTACTATATTATAACCGCAACTTTGTTTACATCGGTCCTCTAACTGAGTAGCGTATAAAAGCTAAACTTATTCAATCTTTACACTAACTACATAACCGCAGCGAGCATTAGACTTGATGCTGGCATTACCGGTATCCACAAGTTTCCGAGGGGCGCTCCTGTAAAAAATAAAGTGGGTGAAACTTCCGGTGACGCGGCGGAAGTAGCATTCCAATGGTATTTTGTGTGTTAGTTAGCGAAGAGGCTAGCTGTTTTTCGGAGAATTATTTTACTATTTAAAGACGCAAATCTTTATGAGAGATGTCGTTACGGAGCTCAGGGACAGCATGTGCTGTTCACGGTTGTATGTATAACCGGACTAAACTAATTCAGTGGCTTAAACGTGATTGTTTTGAACATAAGCTGAAAACGAAATCAGAGTGATCCTGCCAGAGCCCGTCTCTGATCCTGCCAACGACTGTAGTTTCCATCACCTCCCAAAAGACGACGAATCTTCCTGTATACATTTGTTTAAATTCTTAATGTTCTATAAACTCTATCAGCATGTGATTGGCTGTTCGCTACTGATGTTACACCTAAACTCAGGATCAAAGCCTGTGTTGACAGAATACCAAATGTGCCAGTTAATGTATTCAAGAAGCACATTCATTTATAATTTTGAATAAACTCCGACCAAAGCACAATGACTAAGTGTGTATTTTTTATTTTGTTTGTCAGCTCGCACAACTGTCTGTCACCATGCCTTGATGAGTATTGATTATTAATAATGTTATTATAATACTCCCAATCAACTACTGCGGAGGGTAAAGGTACTGTTATTTCACCCTTTTGAATTTCGTTGAGGTTGTGTTCCCACATCATTAGCTAGTTTGGATCGCTATAACTTGAATGACTGTCAACTGTTGAGTGAACGAGTGTCAAGCATGTCAAATCAGGCTTTGTTTACTTCCAACCGGAAGTCGCGCCCACTTTTGACGCAAGGCCTCATGGGGCGTAGGAAACTTGTGGATATAGATTGTCCGCGCGCAGTCGACTCGAAATTCGAATAAATTATCATCCGTGAAGGCGAAGCAGTCCATGCGTGTTACAATTGCCATGGAGCATCGTAATATCTTGCAAATTAAAACGCTTACAAATTAGAGTTTCAATGTGCGAAGAAATAACAGGTAAACAATACACAAACAGCGCCATTTAAACAGACATATTTTGACGCTACGACTAACGTCACGCGACAAGTTTCGCCTTTTTAACGATTAATTGTGTGTGGCCCAACCAAACCAATGGCGTTTATGCAATACCTTGAAAAAGGTCAGTTCGCATTCGCGTTCATCTCAGTTGGTGCAGCATGACACGAAATAAGCGATATGTGAACGCGTCGATTTGCAGTGAACACAGATTTGCAGCCTGGGTTTTTAAACCAATCACCCGATCCTACATGCCATGTGACTCAGGGGACAAATGAAGTCAAGCCAACGCTGATTGGCTAATGGCACCTAATGGCTGACCTCCAAGTTTAACTAAAAACGCAAAACACGGCATTACCCTGATGAGGCTGTTCTTCTGTTTATGGAAATACACGATGGAGCAGCTTTATTAGTATGGAAACGCATATGTCATCATGAATGGACGGTCTTGGGACTTCAACATATTCGTTTGGGAGCTGCAACTTTGTTTCGGGTAGGCCTACATTTCATTTGACAGAATTACTACACTTTCTTTTCTTTCAGGGGTGTTTTGTCTGAGGCAAGTTAAGACATAATTAAATTGTTCATGTGACTACAGTGGTTTAACCTAATTTTATAAAGCAATGAAACTATTTTTTTGTGTGTGTGCACAAAACAAAAACAAGAGCAGCGCTTCCGGGTTCTTGGTCCAGTCAGAACGCTGGCTCATCTGTCAGAACCACACGCATGCGTTGTGATGCTTATGTCAACACTGCAGCTTCAGAGAAAGACACGTATGAGAAGAAATTAGTCTAGTTAGGAGATGGAGATGCGCCTTGCCCTTGCCTCGCCTGGTGTGTGCGAGTCTAGGCGGCTGCAGTGAGGGTAGGAGTGAAAAAGAGCAGGCAAGACGGACAGCTATAGGCTACATCTCTCTTGCAGTGGATCAGACACCTGTTACTGTGAGATCAAAGGCTTATAAAATGTTTTATAAATATGACAACAATCAAATAACCCATATATAGATCACACTGTCAGAGGGTTTGGGAATACTCATCATAGCTACATATAAAACACGATATCAGGGTTTTAAAATCAAACATTTTAAAAGAGAACAATATGTCTACCCATCATGGTAGCAGGCTATCGTCAGCTAGTCTCCCATCATGCTTTTGATCAGCTCAGTCGGTGGAGAGCAACTGCGCACGACTGCAGAATCCGTCAGCAGCGCGTAATCCGAATCCGAAATCCGCTCCGATACGACCGGAAGTCATTCATTTCCTATGGAGATTCGCAGACCGCATGAGAGTGCGGTGCGAAGAAAATCGTGTCCATTTGCTCATCCGGATGCGTTAAAAAAATTATATTAAACTTTTAATCAGACGATTAATAAACGATTATAACGATAAGTTATCATGTCATTTTTTATTTTCATGACTTTCTAACGTTGTTAGGGCAGTTAAAACAATTAAATCAACCGGCAAACGGAGTATGTGTGAAATCGACGGACTGCACCCGGGTGCAGTGTGAAAGCCAACGGAAAAAATACGCACTGCAAACTGAGTATGTGAGTATGGCCTAGTTTCTTCATAAATGCATTTAATTCAATAAAATGTAGTAATCACACCGTGAATCTATTTAATTAAATATTAGCCTACTTTTCGTCTTTTTACTTTAAGAACAGGGTTTTAAGCAAACTACAATTTTCCTCAACGAGGACATAATGAAGGACACTCGTCTCATGAGGTGGAAAAACAAGTTCTTTGTTACATGCAATATTTATTGAATTAGAATTTAAATGCAAAAGAAAAGGTATGAGAGTTGGCTGTTTTAATTTAAAATATTTGTTATTTTAATATAAGTACATGGTTAAATATTTGACCACTTTTTGGGTAACTTAATATAGCTAGACTATATAGAAGTCGCCTAATGCATGGAATTATAGGCCTATGTTGTTTAAATTGTGTTTAAAAGCATGCATATACATCCATAGTTTGTATATGTGTACAAAGAATCGCAATGCTGACAACTTTTTTTTAATAAAAGTTCATATACATAACTTCTGGATGTGAAATACAAATAGTGAGTGTTTGTGCGCTATAGCGCGTGCTTCTTCTGTACCGAATCTTTTTTTTGAGTCACGGTTCATTGAATGAACCAAATGACTCGAAAAAAGATTTGTTCATTTTGATGAACGAGTTCGAACAGGAGAGTCAGAACGCTCATCACAGAACAGAGCAAGGCGAGCATTTGTGCTTATAAAACATATACTTTTTTATTTATTTTTGAAATGACCGATCGTTTTGTTAGATGAGACCCTTATTCATCCCTTTAAAGTAGGCTTGCTTCTTAAGTATTCTTGCTTCTTCTTGCACTGTAGTCACACTGTGTAATCATCAAATAAAAATGTAACATGAATTAAAAATAAATAAATCATCATAAAAGGTTATGGGAAACATCTACTGTAGTCAAATTAAATATTTATGATTTAAATATTGTTGGCAAATTGTTTTGAATAACATATTTTGAATAACAGTTGGTGGAGAAAGATTTTGTGGCCAGATGGACTGTGATAAATACCAATATGTTGCATGTGCAGTAAAATATAGACTTTGGCGGTAATTTTATGAAAATGCCTGAACAATCAGAATCAAGTAATCTGAAGAGCTGTGTACATTGCATTTTGGGTGTGTCTCAATCGGCGCCCTGGTTCAGTATAGGGCACTGATCAGGGAGTTGGACATGTTAAGGGCTGTTTTAATCGCAAAATCCTTCCAGTGGACTTAAATGTTCTTGATGCCCACTATGGCTGCGTCTGAAAATCTAGGCAGCTGACATGTTGCCTCACACATGTCCTTGGGCATTTGTAATGCATTAATACATTTTAAACCTTAACCATACATCTTTTTGAACTTTGATAGTTTCTTTTTTTTTTCTTTTGCAAAGTTTATCAGTCTGCTGGTGGAGATAAGCAGTGAGGCTGTATCTCGGGAAAGTTTTTGTGCACTGACAAACTTTTTAAGCATCATTGTGAATTCATTGCAATGCCCTGAGAATATCAAATAAATCTGGTTAAAATTCATAACATTTAAAATAATGGTTAATTAGAAGGTATTTTCCTCAATTCACTTCTGTCTGTGACCAAAACATGATCATAAAAAATGCACACTATTACTGTGCACAGCCTCATAATCGCTGATTGCATTAATAATTATAATGGTTAAAGTTGCATTTTGTTATATCTGATTTATGATTGCCCAACCAGACTTTTTCATGTGGTTATTTATTTTATTAACGGAAGCAGTTATTTTCAATATTTTATTACAATTGAAACTTACTTCATGTGCAATATTGTGGTTTTACTTTTTTTTTTTTCTAAATTAAAAAAAATGTTACTTAGATTCCATTTCGCCACAAGGACAATAGAAATGTCCATAATTAAAAAAATATTGGCTGGATTCAATGCCTTTAAATCTACACTTGTAAAAATTCTGGGTTAGCCTATTTCAACCCAAAATTGAGTCAAATATAGACAAACCCAAATGTTGGTTTAAGAATAAAAAAGTAGTTGAAAGTGAAAGTTTAAAATTTTAAATTACATTTTTGGTTTCTCTATATTTTACCCAATTTTAGGTTAAAACAACCCAGCATTGTTTAGAGTGTATGTATCATGACCATACACAAGGTTCAACTCCAGCACTTTCTTTCAAAGTCAAGTTAATTCAAGTTTTTAAAGACATTCCTGTAGCAAAGTAACATGCTAATAATATTAATGAAGAAACATAAATAAAACTAAATTAAATCAAACTAAATCACTGGTTTGTTTTGCAGCAAGAACATTAGAAATCTGTCATACCAAACAGAGATAACACAGTTATTATATTATTTTTACAAAGTATGATGAGGAGAGCAAGAGATCAATTTCCCGAGAATCTGCATTTAGTATAAAGCACAATAAAGACATAAAATTAGACTACTTCTTGAAATGACAAATGTATATGATTTTTCAGGATACATTGAACACAATGCCTTCTGAACTGCTGCTCAAAAAAATACATAAATAATACTATTATGTTGTTATTCTGAGAAATACCTCTTTAGTAGAAATATAAGATGATAAAAGGCTCGGATATGATCATACATCCTTAGAAATTGTAGTGGAATTACATTGGTTAACCACTGGAACCAACGAATAGATTGCATCAAATGACATTGACATGTTATTAAATATGGTTTAGTCTGCATACTTCAGGTCATAATTCTATTCCTTTAACATCAACTGAAAAATAAAACATCACTGAAGTCAGAGCCACAATATCAACCACTATCTGAACTTTCACACGAGAAAAAGAAACACAGAAACATAGATATTGAACATTCTTTTCGTAAGAGGTGGGTAAATTAACATTTCTTTTTATTTTTTTTAATTTGTAAAATGTACATAAATTATATTTGACTCATAACCGCCGAATGAGTAATTCGGTGAACCTCTTTGCAAAGGGAAGGAACATAAGTTAAGAGATAAAGAAGGAAAGAAAGAAAGAAAAAAACAGTACAAGGCATTCCTTGTTGAGATCATTTTTCAAACAAACATTGGTCAAACATTTTTTTTTTTCTCCAGCTGGAAAAGCAATGTGCTACTGAAGACAGAAGAGGTCATCACACCTTCATCATTAGAATCATCCCATGTATGTATTTAGAAGGGAAATTAAGGATACATATTCATTGCCCCTAACCCAAAGGCCTTCACACCCCCATTGTTTCATATGCCCATTTCTGTAAGTTCTGAACAGAGACAAAACGGGGTGGCAATCATGACATGAACGTTCACAAAAAGTGCAGACAGGATATATATAACTGCTGTGTGTTTCCTTCACCTGGGTGAAGCTTGTTCATTGAGATTTCTTTTCCAGATACAAACCTTTTTTTTAAGTGCAGATAAAGGCTTTAAAGAAAAAAAAAAAAACTTTTTAAAGAAATAAACGTGGAATTCAGCCACATGCTTTTCAAATATTAATCATATATTTAATTGATATACATATATTGCCAACATTGGCACGTTCAATATTGCACACAGTAATGAAATATAGCACTGGGAAGAGAAAATAAATCTTTAAGTTTCCAAAAATGACAAATTACATGAAGCAACACTGAAAGGTTGGGGAGAAAACACAAATCCTGGCCACACCCCTCAACTAGGCTTT